AACTGCAATACACTATGTTGTACTTACTCACCCATAAAAACAATATCATAATTGTTGATTGAGAGCTACTAACAAATTTTAAATACAAATCTTCATACGTTGATTCATCAACAATATCGGACCAGCTAATTCTTTCTGACGAAGGTACAGTAGTTGTCATTCCCCTTTCTGAAAACACTTTTTAACTTGATTAGCTACCTTGTTCCAGTAGACATCACCAGGATTGTTTCCACTGTCATAGACTGAAATGCTTCTGTGTCCAAGTGACTCCTTTGCTCTATAGAAATCAATATTTAAAATATTTTTAATCCACAGTGCACAGTAACTACTGTACAAATAATAATTATAGATTGCATTGCTTTAACCACAATGCTACTGCACCACATAACATCCCAAACACCATGCTAGTGGACTCTTATCCTATAGTTTAGATCACGCAAAGATATATATGGCCACGCAATATTACATTTTTGAAAGGCGACTAGGCGCATGGTAACAACCAACTAATGCAGACCACCGGTCACACATTACTCTCCATAACACAGCATCCCCTAGTTCCGTCACCTCTGGATGCACAATCAACTTACTGTATTATCCCATGTCGTCCCAAGGCAATAAATACATAAGATAATCGTAGTCATACCCTATTAAGGGCCATGTTATTTTAGCAAGCAACAAAAGGGCCTTATAAAGTCAGGTTTGGCATGTTGAGCTCAAAAAGTGGCTTTTGATTTTTGGACACTATGTTAAGAGACACTTCTCTAACATTGCAACAATGTAGAAAATGTTTCTTATACACATCTAGATGAAAACAATGTACCAGATGATGATGATAAATTCAATTTGAATGTAGTCTTTTACATTTACTAATTAGAACTAGATATACAGTACAGTACTGCGTACCTGGAAGTGCTGGCAAAAAATGTCTTCTGTGATCGAAGATCAAGGTACACTTCTTGACTTGAGTTTCGCTCTGGACTGGATAAATCTCCTAGGCTTGAAATGGGAATAAAGTTTCTGGAGTGTTTTTTGTTCACATGTTGCTGGAAAAAAGAAAATTCAGGACTGAGTAACACAACACTAAACAATTAAAACTTCAGACAAAGAAAAAAAATACATCCTGGATTTTGGGCACATAATTGTAGAACGTATCTTGTAACTAAATCAATGCATTTATTTTATTGTGTAATTACGTCTAAACATTAAGAAAGCATTATTTTAAATAGTTTTCTTCCAAAGGTTGGAAGATTATAAATATTTTAACCATCAAAAGTTGTGGGTTAAATTCTGGCAAGTTGAAAAGTAGCATGGTAATTTGTCAAATGCCAAACTCATTTGGATCATACAGTCTCCAAGCAATCATAATCAGAATAAAATGACAATTATTGTTTGGCAACACACCTTATCCATACAGTACATCTTACCTTTTATAAAATGTGTACTACATGTGTGCACATCTATGGCCTTTAGAATGTCATCCTTCCGTAACTAGTGCAAGATCCGCTTCATGGACCACACCAAGCTCATCCAGTTTTCCCAAACGTTTTTCTTTCATCAAAATTCGAAAACATGAATCACTAACAGTTTCCATAATTATCTGTAATGACTGACATACATCTATGAATATTTATTATGTTAAAAGAGTGTTCAGATTTCATTTTTACATACAAAAAGTTGTGGAAATTTTGAAAGAAAGTGTAATTTTGCTTCCCTTATCTTATAATTTTAGTCTTTAAAATAAAAAAGTGACAACTGGAAGATTTTAAGTTCCACTGAAAAAGCTCAATTTATTAGTTATTTTCACTTCACTTCTCTAACAATAACATTGCAACAATGTAGAAAATGTTTCTTTCGAATTCGGTTTATTATGGGATTGCAACTCTAGAGTTATTATTTGTGGGCTATAAATGGGTGAATTATATCAAATGTACATAATTATCTTAATGAAAAAGTATTGTCTTCAGTATTTTGACACCTTTATTTTTAAAAATTGGTCCAAAACCAGAACAGGGCAATAAACGAAATTGAGAGAGTGCAGGAAAAAGAAATTCACAAGTTAACAGATGTGAAACAATTCAAAATAATATAACTTCTTTATCCTAATCATAAATGATATGAAGGTGAGTTTGGTGTCAGTCTATACCCCTGTAGGTTTGAGGCCAAGGTAAGGAATCGATGTTTGTTTTTTGTCGGAAAACAGATTCTTTTAGAAAAGGTGTCAAAATGCCGAGGAGAAGATAATATCGTTTCATTTATATTTTGGTAATCAAAGTATCGCTCCCAAATGTTGATGGCCAGATCTTGAACGTCTGCTTTCCATTGCAGTAGCCTAGCTAAACTAACTTGGTACACTATCTGGCCTAACCTGGCAAGTCCTAGGCCTTGCCTACTTACTTTCAATCTTCAACTAGCCTGCCTAGGGCCAGGCCCTAGGTATGACTATGCCTAGTCCTAGGGCCTAGCCCTAGTAGTAGTACTAGTAGTAGTACAGTAGGCTAATTAGGCCTAGGCCTAGTCTAGGCATAGGCCTAGGTCGCTTTAACTTTACCGAAGAGTGCCTATAAGTAATAATTGGAAATTAAAAAAGGATATACCATAGCCATATACGTTCTTGTGCAATGAAAACTTACTGAACTTACCGATCCTTTTGTTTTCCAAGATAAAGAACCGACGTAAACGAACTTTACATGTGCTCTCCTCTTCCATACCACTGTCCGCGCCTCAACGTCCACAAACTACGCATGCGTGTGTCATAATGCGTCATACTGAGATGTCACGTGATCGTAAGCGCGCCAAATAAATGGTTTTCGCTTTAATTTTACGTTAGGGAACGTATATTAATAACAATGTTTAAAAATATATAATTGTCAAGGAATTCCAAAATATTTGACACAATCAAGGTGGAATAGGCCTCCTTTACTGTAAAAGGAGGCCTGAAGTAGGTGAAATATTATGACATTAGCAGAATAATGTCAACGTTTAATTCACAATATCATCGTTGTTACAAAAATACACCGTTATACGTATGCCTAGGCCTAGTAGGCCTACTTTTTATTTTTAAAAGAAGTTTTGAAATTGTAAGATTACGCTTAGCATTACGAGCTTCGATGTTAATTTACTTAATGTTGATTCTGACCTGTTAAACTACGAATAACAGTGATATGACGGCGTAAAATTAACCAGCAAACACATTAAATTTACGAATTCATCGTATATTTACATAGCAATTCCTTTTCTTTCTTAATACTGTACAATACCGGTTTAGGTAGGTAAATTTACACCAATTTATAGTTTAAATTTCGAGCTCTGACGTTAAAACACAATGGCGATTTTAACCTGTAGAAAAACGATATGATACCGGTAATTTAAACTACAACAAATCAACCTATCGTTATTCTTATTATACAAGATACCGTTAAAATACAATTTTACTGTAGTTACGTTATTTTTACAGTAAATTGGATTTCAGTAAACGTAAAATAACAGACATTTTTTTACTGATAGTAGGATTATAACGGCGAACGTAAAATTACGGGAAAATGTTAATTTTACCCGCGAAGATGAACCGTTATTTAACATCGCAAAGTGTGAGTTCACAGTCTCATCATTATTATACAAAAATACCGTTAAAATTCATAGTACTTGTTAAAACAATATTTTGTATTGTAAAATTACGCCAGTTTATAAATGAACATTACGAACTCCAACGTTAATTAACGTAAATATTGATTTTGACCTGTTAAATTACGGAAAACAGTAATATGACGACGTAAAATTAACCAGCAAAAACACATTAAATTTACGAATTCATCGTATATTTACATAGCAATTCCTTTTCTTTATTACTACAATACTTAACGGGTAAGGTAGGTAAATTTATACCAATTTATAGTTTAAATTCCGAGCTCTGACCTTAAAACACAATGGCGATTTTAACCTGTAGAAAAACGATATGATACCGGTAATTTAGGCTACAACAAATCAACAACATCGTATTTTTATTATACAAGATACCGTTAAAATACAATTTTACTGTAGTT